ATAAAGTCCGAAATTTTTTTTCACCATTATAAATTATATTACATTAGCTTTAATTTAAGATATATATAAAAATGTCAGACCTTCCGGAACACTTTCAAAAGTTAAATTGAAAAAGTTCTACTTTCTATATGCATTTTTATGTTTTGAATCCCCCCTGTATTTAGGGAAATGGTCCGATTTAAAAAAACAGTATGTCGAATGAAAGATCTATATAAATACTACTTCTCATAAAAAAATTGTAATGATTCATACATTTTTCAAAAAGTTATAGCATAATAAAGTTAAAAATGGAAAATACAAAATCGAAAATTTTCACACAAAAATAGCATTCGGTAGCCATTTTCACCATGAAGATAAGATAAAGTCCGAAATTTTTTTTTTTCATGATAAAGCATATTACATTAGCTTTAATTTAAGATATATATAAAAGTGTCAGACCTTCCGGAACATTTTCAAAATTTAAGTTAAAAAAATTAATTTTTTGTGAAAAAGTTGTCATTTTAAATCCCCCCTTGTGGGCAGGTTAAGGGTTAAATTTATGAAAAAAATATACCAAATGAAAGGTAATGATATTATGCATCTATATAAAAAAGAATTATATTGATATGTTTATTTTTGAAAAAGTTATGGCACTTTTAAGTAAAAAAAATTGAAAAAATTTCGAAAATTAGCGATTTTTAAATTTGTAATTTTTTTGGAGGTTTCCCCCTTTTACGGGGAACGAGGGAATTTTTTTCAATTTTTAAGGGTAATGTCTTCGACTAGATACGATTTGTGATCTTTTGACGTATCATTGAAAGAAATCGGTTCGGTGAGAGCTGAGAAAAAGTGGTAACAGACACAAAAAAAAAAAAACAAATCTTAGTAAAACCAATACCTTCTCAGCTTCGCATCGAAGCTAAAATATAAAAAAAAACCCAGCACAGGGGGGTCGCGGCACAGTGGTGACGTGGCATAGTTGGATCAAGTATAATGATATCTGACAGTGATTAAAATCACTATCAAAAAAAAACGCTTCGATGCAAATCTTTAGATAGTGTTTAATTTTAAAAAATTGGTGGATTATTCCAAAAGCTTCATAAACTGCTAGTTCCTTATTAATATCCTGATTAAGATAAAGTATGTCGAATGAAAAAAGGAATATTAAAAATACTACTTCTCATAAAAAAATTGTAATGATCCATACATTTTTCAAAAAGTTATAGCATAATAAAGTTAAAAATGTAAAATACAAAATCGAAAATTTTCACACAAAAATAGCATTCGGTAGCCATTTTCACCCTGAAGATAAAATAAAGTCCGAAATTTTTTTTTTTCATGATAAGTATATTACATTTGCTTTAATTTAAGATATATATAAAAGTGTCAGACCTTCCGGAACACTTTCAAAACTTAAGTTGAAAAAGTTAATTTTTTGTGAAAAAGGTGTTATTTTGAATTCCTCCCTGTGGGCAAGTAAAGAGTCACATATAAAAAAAAAATATATTGATATGTTCATTTTTGAAAAAGTTATGGCACTTTAAAGTAAAAAAAATTGAAAAATTTTCGAAAATTAGCGATTTTTAAATTTGTAATTTTTTTGGAGGTTTCCCCCATTTACGGGGAACGAGGGAATTTTTTTCAATTTTTGAGGGTAATGTCTTCGACTAGATACGATTTGTGATCTTTTGACGTATCATTGAAAGAAATCGGTTCGGTGAGAGCTGAGAAAAAGTGATAACAGACAAAAAAAAAAAAAACACATCTTAGTAAAACCAATACCTTCTCAGCTTCGCATCGAAGCTAAAAAAAAAGTTATAAAAAGGAATCAAAAAATTAGATCTATTGAGTTTTTATTATTTTTTAGAATTATGTAATTTTATTTATTATTTAAAAAACTCAGTAGTTGTACAATTTCTATGTAGTATTAAAAGTTCGAAATGTAAAATTTGAAAATAGCAATGTTCAGTAAGTCACACATTTTTTAACTCGATAAGTTAAATTAATCTTTTAAATACTACGTTAAGTAAAAAACTATCTAATGTAATTTTTTTAACTTGATTTATTTGACTAGAAAACAATTTTAACTTAATTTTTACATTTTAGTAATGAATATGAAATCAACATCATATTTAGGTAAAATAAGCATCTATTTATACTTAAAGTTAATCTTCCAGTTTAGTTAATTTGGAAATTAACCTCAACGTTTTATTTTTTTAACATGTAAATGCTCAGCCTTGGTAAACAGTTATGATGTCTTACCTGTGGAACTATTGGATTCTTTAGGTGTTAAAACAGAACTTTGTCTAATATTCATGTTGATATTATAATTAAAAATTTACCCACAACGTAAAAAAAAATTAAGAATTTAAGATGAAACAATTTTAAATAATACACATTGTTATGAGAGCTGCGACACACGTAGCGACCGTCAACCGATTAATACACGTTTTAGAAAGCCAGGATAGTAATGTGCTGAACTGTCAGTTATTGTTATAGTGATTTCGTAAAAAATTGATGCACTTATAAAAAAAAAATTTAGTATTATTATTGCTTTAATAAGAATATTGCTTCATTCATTGTCGATTGAATTAGAATTAAAAGCATTACGTTGCTTAAAAATATGTTGTATAGATGTATTATACAGACTGGTTTATAAAAAAAAGTCTATGAGGGGACTTATTGATTTATTATACAAAATTATTTTTATAATGTCATAGATAAATTATTTTTTGTTTTAATTTAATAATTTTCTAAACAACAATTATTTTGATATTTTGAACTTTGTACTGTGTATATTTACCATGATACTTATCACTGCAATTAAAGTGGTTATTAAACTTAAAAATAAGCATTAATATAATAAGTTTAATTTAGTTCATAAATTTTCATCTAAAAAATTTGTTAGTTAGATTGGTATTTAGTGGCGTGGTGAACTTTAAAATCTTGAATGACACTATTTATAAATATTTGATATCCTCGCTCATTTTTATTTAATTTCTGTGACTATTTTCTAAAAGCTGATTTACTTCTAATATTTTTTTAGAGGAGAAAAAAACAAATTTGAAATCATCCTGATGGTGCATCTAGCTAATTAATATCTTTGAAGCGCTTATAAAGACCTCAAAATTTTTGGAATTGAACAGAAAGGATACTTTTTTATATAAACGATAAAAAAAAACTCATTATTTTCACTTATCAGCTTTTGGATATAAGTATAAATTTAGTTTAATTTTTTTTTTGAACTTGAAGGTTCTTTGGTACTTAATCTGATTTATCAATAACTTTTTAATAAAAAAAATACCACTTTTCCTTCTAAAAATGATTGGTTACGCAGCAGATAAATTCTATAATTGAATTAAAATGTATGTCAACTAAAATCGAATATATTTTAGGTCTTGCTACTTTTTTAAAAATAATCATATCGGAAAATTATCAGGTGATAAAATATAGTCTGAAGTTAGTTTCCTCCCTGTTTAAAGTCAAAGTTTTTTTTGTAAACAAAACCTATATTTTTTGTGAAAAATAAATTAAACATGTATAAAGTAGACTTATAGCTTAATTATAATAAATTTTTTTACTATTTCATTAGATCCTAAAATCTAGGTAGTATAAATTAAAAAATCAGATATTATAAAACAATTTTAGTAAAATTCCTTTTTACAATAACCTTTTTCATTAGATTAATAAAAATATAATGCATGTTTGTATTCTAATTTTAAGTTTAAATTTTTAATTCAACTTTTTTAATTTTAAATCAACTGATTAAGATAAAAGTAATTTTTTATAAATAATACTATATTTAAAATCTTGATTTAAAATTGCATATAATTTGACCTCATTTAAACTGTTTTGTTTAATTTTTTATTTGATTGTAAAAAGGTACTGATTATGTTTTGCTTAATTTACACAAAATAATTACTAATATAATTTTGAATTAAACAATAATTATTCAACAAATTGCCTGTGGTGCCACAATATTAACAATAATAATAATAATTACATTAAGATTTGCTTTATATTGTAGTAGATACCTGAGAAGATATTTTAGAGATGCTAAAATATGTAAAATTTGTAGTATATTTCTATAAAACCTGAAATATCCACAATGTCTATAATACAACTATGATACATTTTTGCAGTTAAGTATCTTATATTTGTTATCCTTTAACAATGGCGTGCCCAGGGGGGAAAGTTAGAGGTCATATCTCTCCTGATTGCGTTTTTTTTCTAGCATCGAGGACCTAACAGCAATAATTGAATAAAGTTGTAATTATTACATTGTATATTTGTATAACAACATTACATCATATCATACCAAACCCAAAATATTAATAAATATTTTAATGAGGCTTGACCTCTAAAGCCCTCTTATTAATCTTTTTATAATTCTTTCACCCCCATTAAATGTATTTAGTTGTATTAATACCTATTAGTTATGACATCCCTCCCTATTTAAAATTCCTTGGCACGCCACTGTCCACTATAAAATGAAAAAAAAAAAATTTGTCCCGACACCTTATCTTCTACATGCAAACGGCTGCCGAAGTTAAAAAATTATATTTCTGTGTTAAAATTTTCGATTTTACATTTTAAATTTTAAATTGCTATAACTTTTTTAATAATGTATATATCAACACAAATTTTTTTTCTAAATACATTATATATACTTCTTTCATTTAACATACTTTTTATTTATATTGGACAATTTTCCTTTATACAAGGGGCGTTCAAAGCTTGAAAAATAAGTATAAAAAGTAGAACTTTTTCAACTAAATTTTGGAAGTGTTCCGGAAATACTGCGTCCTTTAAACATATGTCAAATTAAAGCTTACAATAAATACTATAAGTTCAAAATAATAATTTGTCCCGACACCTTTAATTCTATGAGAAAATAGGCATAAATAGTAATTATAAAATTTGCTGACTGTATATTAATCTTAACATATTCATTTTTTTCTATTTAATGATGTCAATCTCAAACTTGTAGGTTGAGCTTAAAGTTATGGTAATAAATTCATTTTTTTTTATTATAAACTTTCACTTTAAAGGACTAAAAAATATAGGTTAAAAATTATTACTTTTGACATATTAAAAGTAAAAATCAATATTAATTTGAAAAGAATTAATTATAAAAATTATATATTATATTTTTGAATCTAAGAATTACTAATCTGGATATAATTAAGGAAATAGAAGATGATGTTGCTTTTGTAATTATCCACCAATTTCTTAGAATTAAACACTATCTACAAATTTGCATCGAAGCGTTTCTAATGATAGTGATTTTAATCATTGTCAGATTAAATCTATACTGGAGCCAGCTATGCCATGTTCCCACTGTGCTGGTTTTTTTTTTTTTATTAACTACATAAAAAATGAATTACAGATAATTATTACTTATAAACCTATTATCTCTCGGTTAGAATACTCATTTTAACGATAATTTGAAGGTTGTCTCCAACTCTAAAATACTGTATACGCGTCTGTACATTACTATCAAATCTAATTTTTTTCTCATTTTAAAATAAAAGGGAAAAATTATAATATTAAGTTATATAATCATAGTANTAATTATTACTTATAAACCTATTATCTCTCGGTTAGAATACTCATTTTAACTATAATTTGAAGGTTGTCTCCAACTCTAAAATACTGTATACGCGTCTGTACATTACTATTAAATCTAATTTTTTTCTCATTTTAAAATAAAAGGGAAAAATTATAATATTAAGTTATATAATCATAGTAAGTTATACTATACCCAACCACAGAGGACTGGTCAAGGAGCAGTTATTGATAATATCACAGTCTATAGAGCAATGAGGACCACTATGATTAGCATAATTCGATTTTTAAAATTTATTCATGACCTTTTGTTATTTTGTTCGTCATTTCTTATTATGGAGCGATATAAATAACAAAAGTGATACACAATATCAATTATTGAGGAAAGGTTTTCCTCTTTTCTATAACACATGAATTTTAATTTTTACTCAGGTAGATGTTAAATGTAAAATTAATTACATATAATTATTTATTATAAAGCAAAATTTTTTATTTATTATTTTTATTATTATTCCCGGGTAATTAAATTAAATGTACAAGAGGTTTAAATTTTTTGACGGGACAGACGTGTATAAAATTATTGCTATTAGTCATCACATTTATGATAGTCATGAGTCCGGAAATAAAAAACTCTTACTTACATTTTAATTTACAAATTAGATTTAAGTATACATTACTATTAATGTCCATTTTAACAGTAATTGGATACCACGAAAGAAATGAAAATAGTATGAACTTAATGGCCTAACTAAATTTAATCTTATATATTATATAACTTGAATTAGTTTATAAATAAAATGATCAGTTTTATATCCTTCTATGTCTCAAACTGAACGTGTTATAGAGGATGGTATCTCAATTTCACATATTTAGGAGTCAAAGATGTGTCTTGGCTAAACCAAAGACAGACGGGACGGGTATTATGGCCGTCTTCCACCAGAAACCAGACGCCACCAATGAGAAAATCACTAGAAAAATCTCGTTGAACTCAGCTTCCCATGCGCCTAAAAATATGTTTCAACCCACTAAGCCAGCCTACCTCATACTTTACAAATAATATAATATTCAAAAATTGCTAGGTTTTAGAATTATTGAATTAATTTCATTTATATATCATAAAGTGTCGTATGATGTCTTCCGTTTTAAAAACGTGTAAAAATATGTAATGCAAATGTTACATTTTCTTTTTTGCACTTGTTGCACATTTTTCATTATTTATTCAGTAGCTATATGGTATTTAAGACTTGAAAACAACTAAATAATACAATTTTATACATACAAAAATTATTTCATTGAGATTAATAAAAATCGAATACTTTTGAAACAGGGTCCTTAGTAGGGGAATTTGGGGAGAAGTGATTTCTTTTTTAATGTAATCGAATGAGATTAAAAATAATGGGGAAGGATTATGTATTCAAACCTCTTATTGATAATCTGGTTCTTGCGTCCTATATCAACAAAATAGCGTATTAACAACGCTACAGTCAAAATATTATGCCTAAATAAATAAAATTGATAAATAAAAAAACAGTTGAATAACTATAGATAATTGAAATTAGACAATAATGATTAAAAATCATAAAAAATCATGTTGATTTGAATCTGTTTCACAATAATTTGATGTTTATAATTTTACAGTGTCTATGTTTTAAAATTCCACTCAAACATTAAATGTTTGTTAAGATGCTTACTTATTGAAAATAAAACTTTTTTTTTTTGAAAAAAATGTGATTTTATTTTTTGACGGCCAATTTCTCATAGAAGATCAATCGTCGGATAAACTATTTTTAATATTGTAGTATTATTTAAATGCTTTAATTTTATATTGATTTAAAAAATTCAGATATGTATTTAAACAAAAATATGACGAAATTTACAGATATGTTGCGATTTTTGCTTTAAATTCAAATAACTCATAGGAAAAAAAATGTGGGGACACTCTTTTTCATTCATTTCAATTTATCATTTTTGAGTATCCAAAAAAGTTTTAATTAATTATAGGTTTGAAGAACACAGATGTTCCAGAACTTTTTAAAAATTGAAAATTAAATTAATTTTTTTTAATTGCGATTTTATTTAAAGCTACGGTAAAATCGTTTTGTACTATTAACAAAAAAAAAAATATTTTATATGAAATAACTGTTTCAACAGAATAGGATTAACTTTAAAACGGAATTAACTTTAAAACGGAATTATGATTTCCTATTTTTCTTATCAATGAAGTTTATTATCAAATGATGAGTCCTGTTATCAACTATACAAGCCTCGTGAGTTTATTTCAATCAATTTCTTTTCTTAACTTGTTAAATTAATTTTTAAGAACTGTAAGTTAAAGAAAAAATCATGGTGAGTCTTTTGTCAAATTTATGGAGACATTTATAATTTTAATTTAATACCTAAAATGTTTTTATGACTTAGGGCAAACCAAAACCAAATATTATGACTGTAAATCATCCTAACAGTAGAAAAACTAAACAGCTTATAAAATCTAAGCATAAGTACGTATATATTTATTTTAAAGTTTCTATGTCTAACATTATGATTTTATTTTTAGAACGGCATTTAGAGATAAAAAAAAATTAAATAACTTAGCGAAACCAAGTTTATTGTGTGAGAAATTAATTTGGTTCAGAGATAATGTTGATAATACTATTAGTCAATATACTCCAGAATTACTTGCCATGTTGATAGAAAAGTAAGATATTTATAATTTAGCAGTTTAATAATTTCATTAAATTTTTTACATTAAAATTAAAAAAAAATTTAGGTAAATTATATAATTTATTATAAATAAGTATTTTGTATTAATGAATACTATTTTATTCAATAGATACCTTAAAAGGTTTGATAATGAATTAAACTTAATCCAAGCCAAACATAAAGACAAAATTAATAGAAGATATGCTAGTAGAGAAGATGTAATAAGACTCACAGTAGATAGGGAACGCGAAGAATATTTAACTGCTGGTATAGGTAAATTGTAAAATAATTGTTAAGTTAAAAATTATGAATTTTTTTCTAAATTTTGTTGCTATATTTAAAAAAATAGTTAAGCCGATAATATTATTGACAAAAACTATATTTTAGGGTCTCTAAGCATATATTATCAATAATGTATTATTTTTCCTGACATTTAAAAAAAATTTTTAAACATTACTTTTGATCAAAAAATATTAAATACTTTGTAAAAATATTTTTGATAATCATACCCAAATATTTATTTTAATAAACTACTTAATTCCATAAACATTAAACAAATAATGGTTTTTAAAGTCACGTATTTGTAACATTTTATAATATTAGCTAAAAGTTGATCTATAAATTTTATTATTATTATTATTGATATTTATTCAATCATCATTAGTGATGTATCAATATTTTTTGAGAATCTGTTTATACATAATATTATTTAGCTGAATTAATTATCAGTATTAATTAAATTGATAAAAATTGCTTAATATATTATTAGATTGAAATTATAATTTATATTATATCTTTTTTAGAAGTTCCGAGTATATTTAATGCTGAACAGCTACTCTACTTGCGTACTTGGGATGGTGACATACGATTTCTTCCTAACTTTAGAATTATTCGATTTAGTTGTCCTAAGTAGAAGCTAATTAAAATTTTTGATGTTAATTTATTAAATATAATAATTATTTTTTAATTTATTTTGTATTATACTTTATTATGTTTAACATATAGCTTTTATTATTCATATTTATAAAAAAGAAGTAGTATTTTTATTGCATTAGAGTAAGGAAAGTAACAGTAATTTTTTAAAATGAGTATAATATTTCAATCAAATAAGGAAATTTTAGTATAAAGAAACTGCTCAAGTTTCAAGTAACTAGTTGACTATTTTAATAAGATTAAAGATAAAAAATAGATCATATAGTCGAAAAAAATGTTTGAATATATAAACATGAAGTATTGAACTGAATTATTTAATTCTAATTATATTTTTTAGAACATTCAGGTTCTGGTTCCTATAAAAATAGTTTTATGAATGATGTTTATAATTTCTTCTTATTCAGTAACACTTTTTAATTTTCAATTTTTTAAAAATAATTTTTTATTGATGTTATGTTTTATTTTATATGGGAATTTAGTAAAAAAAATGGGTTTCTATTGCCCTAATTGTTTATAGTTCTTTAATTTTTAAGAATACCATGTGGCATAACTATACTTCAGTACTTTTGAAAAGTATACCAATAATGTAATTTCTTAAAACACTTTTATGTTTTTAATTTTCTTAATTCTTATTTAGTGCTAATATTTTTTACCTCTTGCATAATAATTTATATTCTTGGAGAATATTACTTTAAAAATATTGAATCAATCACGAAACATACGTTACAGTTATTAAATACAAATCAATTGTTAATCTAACTCCTCTCCAGGAAACTCATTGTGTTCATTCTACATTCAATACTTCAATGAGAAAAAATTAGTGTACACTGATTATTTAATATTAATTCACCATGTTATAGTAAAATATTTATTATATGACAGTGATATATATCATAAATTGCATCTAATCTTCTTCTTTTTCCTCTAAATCCCAAGTAGATTCCTAAGCCACCCTTATCCTAAGTTTCCACTTAACACGATCATCCACATCATCTATGCTCACATTAGCCGTCCTTATATTCAATTATATCCCTTCATGTCTATTTTGATCTTTCTCTACCTCTTCTTCCTTCAACATTCATTTCTATAACTATTCTTAGAGCTTCTGATTCCTCTCTCTTCATAACATTACCAAACCATCTAAGTCTATTTTCTTTCATCATATCTACGATTAACACTACACCTATACACCCTCATATGTTCAGTTCTTATCCAATCTCTCTAGTCACTTCACTCATCCATCTAAACATTTTCATTTCTGCTCTACTTTCTTGTCAACCACCCAACACTGAACCATACATCATATCTGGTCTCACTATATACTTGTACTACTTTACTTTTCATCTCCTCATCCATTATTATCCCTACACCATTCTTTGTGTTAGACTTAACTTAATATATTATTTTATAACCCTTACTTACTTACCTTGCTTCCTTTTCCTTCCACTTAGTTTCCTGCACACAATAAATGTTCTTTTTTCTCCTCTTCAACACTTCTACTAATTTTCTACTTCTACCAGTTAATGTTTCAACATTCCAAGTACAAATTAAATCAAATTAATGTGTAATGAATTGCATCTAATACGAAAGAATATTTACGGTTCTTTGACGTGGGAAGCTAAGCATTTATGAATTGAAAAAATTAGCCACAAAATATTAATGACCTCATTCTAAGCAAGGTTTTTTTTAACAAAATTTTTAACCCACCTTTTCGACGATTTAAATCAGTTTTAAAATTATTCAATAATCTATCAAATACTGATTGTTTGAAGAGATGCATATAGTAATATTTTAAATATTGATTACATTATAGATAAAGTTAATGTTAAATTTTCAACAAATAAGAACATAACAGATAAGGTAATATATCAAGATTAAATATAAAAAGTCCAGAAAATATAATATATTAAGTGAAGAAGTAAAATCTTAAAAAAGAAATGTCAGAAATAAATGAATTGAAAAAAGTCACATCGTCAGAAATGTTAAATAATTAACATCGTCCTAAGGACGATTTTATTACTTAAATATTTTTAAAATATATTTGTTAACAATGATCTGCAAAGTATATCATCGTTTATCAATTATTCAAATATTTTTTTGGAATTCGNATTTCCTAAGGACGATTTTATTACTTAAGTATTTTTAAAATATATTTGTTAACAATGATCTGCAAAGTATATCATCGTTTATCAATTATTCAAATATTTTTTTGGAATTCGTATTTTAACGGTCAAGTGTGCAAAAAAATTGTAAGATTATTAAAAACATTATTTTTTTTAATCATCATCATTTTCATGAGTTTTCTTTAATTTTTAACAACATTTCAGTAATGTATTATACATTTAGTATATAAAAACGGTAGCACAGTGGGGTCGTGGCACAGTGGGGTCGTGGCATAGTTAAGATTAGTATAGAATATATCTGACAGTGATTGAAATTAATATTATAAGAAACGCTTCGATGAAAATCTGTAGATAGTGTTTAATTTTAAAAAATTGATGGATTATTCAAAAGCAAAATTTTAACTCAAAAAGAATTAAAGAAAAATTATGTAATATGATATAAAAATATATACTATTCATGAAAATCAGTGTATCCCATCATAAGGTATATTAAAATAAATTCAAAGACAATACCAAGAATTTTAACACAATAATAGCATATTTTTGAATATGATAACCATGTTCACTATATCTCGAATTTTTTTTTCATAGTATATTTTATTACATAAGCTTTAATTTAAGATTAAATAAAAGTGTCAATATTTCAGGAAAATTTTCAAAAATTGAGTTGAAGAAGTTTAACTTGTGTGTAGAAATTGTTATTTTAAATCTTCCCTGTAATTAGGTCAAAAGTCAAATTTTCAAAAAATGTCTATCAAATGAAAGAAGTATACATAAAGTATTTATGAAAAAATAATTGTATTGATCCATACATTTTTCAAAAAATTATAGTATTTTAAAGTTGAAAATATAAAATCGTAAATTGTAACACCAAAATTGCATATTTTTTATATACGGGAACCATTTTTACATAGAAGATAAGTCGTCGCAACAAATTTTTTATTTTTGAACTTATTGTACATAAAATGAGCTTTATTTTAGAATATGATTGAAGCTCGGAGTATTTCCCGAACATTTTTAAAACTTAAGTTGAAAAATTAAAAATTTTCTACAGAAGTTGCTATTTTGAATCTCCCCCTGTGAGCAGATAAAGAGTCAGATTTTCAACAAATTTATATCAAATAAAAGGCAAATATCTAAGGTTTCAATATAAAAAATAATTATTTTAAATCGTTAATTTTTAATAAGTTATGACAATTTTTATAAAAAAAGTTTTAAAAATGTCGAAATTTACCGATTTTAAAAATTGTAATTTTTTGGGGGATTTTCACTATTTACGGGTAACGAGGGCAAAATATTCAATTTTTGAGGGTAATATCTTCAACTAGATACAATTTGTGATCTTTTAACGTATCAAATGTAATGTATCAAATCAAATCAAATGTGTTAAATGTAATTTTTCAAAAAGTCGTTTTAATATCATAACCTTACATCTAAATTATAATTTAATTATTGTATTTGTAACTTTTGTTTTTTTTATAATTAGTAAATGTTATTTATTAATTTACATGACATGTAATGGCGGTAAAAGAAGATAATTAATGATGCAAAAGGGCTATTAATACCTTTATTTATTCAAATATTCAACATTATTATTAAATTAAAATGATATAAATTAAGACTTCAGAAGTTTTTTATGAATAGAATTTAAAAACAGTCAAATAAATACCTTTTTATTTATTTTTTAGCTAACATGAGGTTACTAGGAATGACGTAGCCCGAGTGGTCCCTATTAACCGTAATATATCTTCAAAATTAATTAACCCACACCAACTGATGAGCCAATGAAAAGCCTCGTTATACGGCCTTTAATAGAATTTTAGAAAGGGTCAAATATAAACTGCAAAATTTTATTGTCGCTCGTATACTAGAAAGGAAGATGACACTCCTAGTATAGTCTATAGTAAATTAAGTTCTAGTGGTCTAGTACTACTGCTCGAGTATTTTAACCTCAGTTGATATAGTTTTGTACATTTTTTGATTATTGAAATTGTGATTGCAGGCAATATTGAAAATCTTAAGTAGGCACCATAATGAATTACTGCAATATATGAATCGATATTTTTTAATTTAACAAATTAATCTTCAAAGAAAATCGTGAATAATAAAGTTAACAAATATAAAAATCAAATAGAATACAACAAACATTCAGTGAATATTACATTTTTATTTTGCTTTTTATGGTTCGTGAAAAACTTTGCAACGTGTCGATAGTAACGCATATATTGACTGATGACAAGTTTAACAGTTGTTACGCTTTTAGTGTTGTCTTCGTTTCGTAGATTCTCATTTTATGTGGAAAATCTATCATGTGCATATTATTCATAAGAGTTATATTATTGAGTTGAATTTATATTAGATACTTATTTATATGAATATATACATTGCTGTGTGCATTTTTCTTCGCATCAATCACGGTTTTCGAAAATAAAAGAAATTGTTTTCCTGTTACGTTTTTGTGTAGTCCGATAAGACGATTTATAAGGACGGCGGCTATTGCACGTTGCAGTATTATATGTGCGCCCTTTACTCTGGTCGCCCTTGTACGGGATAAGGCGAAAAAGAAATAGTAGATTTTGTGCCACACGACCTACACATAAGGAGAAACTCATACCGGCCGATGCTCTTCTGTTGCGGGACAGTGAAAAATGCCAAGTTCGAGAAAACGCCCGCATAAATCGTTTATTTTTTCTTTCCCTTCACTCGTTTTTTCTTATTTCACACGTATAGAAAAATGTATTGTTGTAATGGAGAAATCGAAAGTTTTACTTTACTGTTTACACCACCGAAAGAGCCAGGGCCAACACTTTGTTGTGCGGACGTTTCCATTGACTGTATACATTTCAGTTTATTCAGAGGGTGTAAACTGATCATTACTTTCGTATAGTGATTACTGATAAGTATGAAAGCGAAGT